GGCCTCTCCTGGGGGACTCCTCTCTGCCTCTAGGGAGGCACCTGAGCAGCAGGTCTACACCGCAGGCCAGTGGCCACTGCACAGGGGATGGCTCCGGAGAGTGGTAGGGTCAGGACCGTCCAGGTCTTGGGGTTGATCCCAGTGCTTGTCACCCCCAGAGCCACAGCTAGAGGTGGCGTGTCAGGTAGCCGCTGCCTTTCATCTTCCTCCACTGGGCCTCGCAGGGCTTCCTATCCTCACCCCTCTCTCTGCTGCCGTCATGTGATGGAAAAAGGCAGAGGAGACTCGGCTTGTTTTGCTGCCTCTCTGGGGAGACCAAGCTGAAGTGCAAACAGAAAACCAAACGAATGACTGAAAAACAAAACTTGAGATTATTCTGAAGAGTCAGTGAGAAAGCCACGCACCAAACCCACATCAGAAGCCCAGCTGGTGGGGGACCCCTTTCCATTCCATAACTACAGAGGCCACAGCACGAGAGGGCCAGGCGGAGGCGTGTGTTTGAAGAAAGAAAAGGTCAGGGTGGTAATGAAAAAACAAGTAGCCTGGGGCGGAGGACAGAGGGACTGCGGAGCTTAGTTCCCAGGAGGCACAGGTGATTTCTCACTGTCACCTTCCTTTGTGAGAAGTTATTTTTGGCAAGTCTTTCTGGTGGATTTCACTGGAAGATATTTGGATGAGATTTTCTCCCCCACCATGGGCATGACTTTTTTTTTAAAGCATGACTTAAATCCTGCAGCTCCCTCTCAGAAGACAGATTTGAAGTCTGGAAAAGGGACAGTGAGCGTGAGCAACGAGGGCAGACTGGGGTAGGGGAACCCAGATCCTTTCCAAGTGGGACCTGGGAGTGGGGCTGGTGCAGCTCCAAAATGGCACCGCGCCCGGTTTTGGACGAGGCTTTGCTGGCTTTGTGATCCACCTCTCACCCTCCGGCAGGGGCAGGTGCGCCGTAAGCAGTGTGTTCCTGAGGACTTCCTTCGGCTCGGTGTTTGCTTTGACTCTGCTTTGCCTGGCAATGTCAGTGACTAGACATACTTTCTGTGATGTCACCAGAGATCCAGGAATGATGGCTTCTAAGCACAGGAAACAAATACTGAGGACACCCCATCAATTCCTGGGCTGGGAATCATTCCAGTATCTCACAGCTGAAATCAAATAGGACAGATTGCTTCCACGAACTCCAGTGATTGATCTAGTAATGTTTTAGTCCTGAGGATCAGGGATTGGGTGAAGTCATTTAAAGGAGATTCCATAGAAAGCACGAGGATTAGGGGCAGAACCTAAGCAGGAGCTCTGAGCAAAAGCCAGAGGGAAAGAGGCTTTGCCCTCCTTTTGGGATGTTTGAATATTAAGGAAACAATTTGTGGTTAATAGTTATGGCTTTGGGGTCAGACATCTCTGGATCAAATCTTGCCCTTTCAAGTGGTATGCCTTGGGGATTTTCTAAGTCTGAATTTTCTTATCTAAAATACATGGAAAATGCTAGTTCTTGTATGTAGCAGTTAAGATGCTTTGGATTCTGAGTATTAGAAAACTCATGCTAATGTAATGGTCTGGTTTGATCTAGATGCTCACATTATTCTAAGGCGTCTTGCTCCATGTCTCTGCCGCTTTCTTGGCTGTGCCTGCCTTCTAGTTTTAGCTATCCTCTCGGGCTGCCTCGCCTCAGGGCAGCAACAGCAACTCTAGACCTCACATCCTCATGTCGCACTGTTTAAAGAGGTGGTTCCCTTTTGCTAGTTCCCTGGAAGAGAAAATCTAAGAAGCCCTCACCAAGCAACTCTTTACCTCTCAAGCTCTGAAGCAGCACAATCACTGAGCAGAGGAGCTAGGATGTTCGACTTCAGGTTCACTCCTAGACCTGAGGGTGGAGTCACATGCACACCAACTACCTGAAAGGGTCCAGGAGAGGCCGTTCCTCAAAGGCAAATAGGCATATCGTTCCAGGAAAGGGAAGAAAAAGATGTCAGCAGGCATCCGACAGCAGTGCCCCTGGGGTAGGGGTGCTGTACAGTGCAGGCTCTGGGGAGGACTGGGTGCACAGTACCCGAGGCTGCCATCTGGTGCCGTCCTGAATCACTGTTCCTGCCTAGGTGTGGCTCCTCACCTGTCTTCCACCTTCCCCTGTAGTGCCACCTCTCCTCTTTACCACGTTGGGAGCGCCCCAGTTGCTCAATTATTTCGGTGAAGCTACTGGTTTCCTGCTTTATGCTTTAATTTAAGGACAAAAACCTATGAAGTGGGGAAGATCTGATTGGAACCCCGGTCTGCTGGTGCTGTGATTGGAACCCTCCAAGCCCCAGCCTCTTTGATGATACAGGGGGAAGATGGGAAATAATATTTAACATCCAAGGCTGGCTTAAATGAACGTGAAGAGTTGGACTGAGGTAGAAGTTGAAATTTATATGGTGGCAGAACCAATAAGTGACCTGTATTTAGGAATGCCTGTTGATGATTTGATCCACTTTCATTTTAAGTGTCTTGTCATATATTATTATAATATATTATTCCCCCTCAGGGGTACTGAGACATTGGAAAGTTAAATTGGTAGCATAGGTTGGGAGGTTCCATGGGGTGAAACCCCAAGGACTGGTTCCCCCACTCCCCCGCAGGCCTGCATGTGCCTTTCGCTCCCTTGCGCCACCTAGTGGCCATTTCAGGTATTACTTAGGCCCAGTAGTGGCATCAGTCTTTGAAGGAAGAGTCCTATCCCTGATGCTGGAAGAGTCTTGGAAATTGAGATCCTGCCTTATCCACAATCTGGAGCATCAGGAGTGAGGCTTATGCTGGGGGAATCTCACAGGAAACCTGAACTGACAGTGAGTACTTGAGTTCTCCTGTCTCTTCATGAGCTTCATGAGCAATACCAGATTCCAGGAGTCAACATTTTTGGTAATAATTTAGTCATTCTTACCTTAACAAGCCAAGATAAAATGATGAGACTGAAAATGTAGTGAGCAGAGGCGGGGAGCAGAGCTTTTGGAGCCGGTGGAGCTGTCCAGCTGTCCACACATGACAGCTATCCAGCTCCAAAGAGACACCATCATTGATGGATCCTCAGGAACAACCAAGTGTCCAAAGAAACATCTCAGGACTCTGTGTTAATGTGAAAATTTGATAACATACAAGATCTCCAAAGACTCTGAAGTACTTGTTCATGACATTTTTATTGTTACTGGCTCAGTGGGTTCTTTTGCCCTCTATCAGAAGAGATAGAGAAAAGAAATTATTCTGTTTCTGTAGAATGGAAGGCAGATTAGTGTCATTCTGTTTTAACTAATCTGCAATTACATTTATTTTTATATTGTTTTCTCTTGTTTCTGATGTGGGCAATTGACTGAATTCAGTTAGTCAGGATCTCAGCAACCTCTGGTCTGGTTAAAGATTTCTTTTTCTTATTAAAAGTACTATTAGTGGGCTGGGGATGTGGCTCAAGCGGTAGTGTGCTTGCCTGGCAAACGTGCGGCCAGGGTTCGATCCTCAGCACCACATACAAAAAACAAAGATGTTGTGTTCGCTGAAAACTAAAAAATAAATATTAAAAAAAATAAAAGTACTATTAGCAATACTCTTGGTAATAATAGCAATACTTAGAAGTGATTTTAGAGTAATTTGCCAGTGTAAAGAAAACTCTGGAATTGGAATGTGGGATCAGGAAAAATTGCCTTTTGAAAAAGAAAACAATGAAAAATCAATGGATAATTGTGCACTTCACTAAACCATCTATAAAAGTAGCCTATTCTGAGGAATAATTTCTAACTGTGTTGCTGTTGAGAATCTAAGAAATCTCCAAATACAAATAAGAAAAATTCAATGTGAATTGTGTTTACTGATTAAAATGGGCATTTTAGTGACAGACAAAAAGAATATTTGGGCAGGGAGCACTTCTCTGTGTAGCTATGGCTATTCCAGGCTGCAGATGGTGTTATGTATGCATGGCATGTTAGAGCTTGAAGGGACCTATGGGACATTGCCATGCCATTTCTTTAAAGATGTTTTAAAAATGGGGAACTGAGATCCAGAAAAGGGACTTCTCCAAGATCAGGTGCAAGTCATGAACAGAGTGAAGTGGAACATGCAGATGACTTCCCATCCTTCAGGTACATGGCCTGGTGAGCGCAGCTCAGGTCCCAGGTGAGGAGCAAGGAGGGACCTTGTCCACAAGAGCTTTACTGTCTAGTGGAGGAGACCCAGAACGGGCAGCTATGCGGAAAGAATGCCATGAGGGGACAATAAAGACATGAGCAACTCGCACACTCTGGGAAGACATTTGAAAAGATAGTTCACTCTTCCTGCAGAGAGTTTAAAAAGTTTTAGAGAAAACCTTCCTATATATACGGTAATGACCATTTTCAGAAGTTTGAAATAATGGGGACAGCTCCAGGAGTCTTCCTAGAAAGGTGACCCCAGGCCCCTTGGGTAACAGAAGAGCGCTCAGCTCCTGGGGAGTGGGATGAAGCCATCTGCAGGGTGAGCCCAGGGCCCTCTCTGCCTCTCCCCTGGGGTGGTGGGGATTCCCTTGACAATGACAGAATCGCCCTGGCTCCTTTAGAAGAAGGATCTTTAGTTTGCCACCCTTGTTACCTATTGGCCAGAAGCAGGGGCGCTCGACTTGCCTTCAGCTCCCAAACCAGGAATTAAACACCTTCCACCACTGAGCTGTAAGAAGAAACCAGGAAGGAGGCGGACATTTCTTGAACTTCTGATTTGGCCAGACATTGTGTTGGAAACTTATTATATGTGTTACTTATTGCTCACAACTATGTTCGAGGGAGAATGAACAGGTTAGAGTCTCCATCTTTTTAAAATTCCTTAAATTGACGCGAATTAAAGTGAGTTAAATTTGGCCTAAACCTGTCTCCTTACTCGGGTGACAAAATTTGGCCTAGGGCTGCCTCCGTACCCCGTGAGCTGTAACCTAACTTGATGCCTGGACCAGCTCTCACCAAACTTTGGAGTAGACCCTGGTAACCGGGCAACGGTCTCAGCCAATCAGCGCAGCTGGGCCCTCGGCCGTGAGAGGTGGAAGGCCGGGCAGGCGCGCCGAGGGCCTGCCTGCGGGCCCAGCGCCTCAGGTGAGGCTGCCGTTTCTCCGTGGCTTCTTCCTTTTCTCTCCCGTTCCTGTCACACCTGTGGCCTGGCACTCGTGGGTGGGGTTTGGTCCGGGCAGTGTTGGTGGGCTCTGGAACCTTCTCTAGCTCTCAGAGGCTTAGTGAAGTCTACCTCCTCGGGGCGCCTGCACGCGCCGGGAAGGCGCTCGACCCAGGGCCTTGCCACCGAGCTGCGCCGCGGCCCTTTTTATTTTGTATTTTGTGACAGGGCCTCGCTGAGTTGCCCTGGCCGGCCTCAGTCACGGGAGCCTCCGGCCTCAGCCTCCCGAGTCGCAGGGTCACAGATGTGTGTCACCAAGACCGCACGGTTTTTGTTTTTGTTGTTTTGGGTTCGCCGGTTTGATGCTTACCATTGGCAGGGGGCTCCCTTTGCTGCCAGAGGATCCCTTTCGGGTCGGAGCTGCTGTCCCCCACCTGAGCTGGAACCTCGCTGGTCCTAGGGACCCCTTGGGTTCTCCTCTCCACCGGGAACTTTTAATTAGCACAAGGGGAGTGACACATCTGCTCATAGACAGTGACTGAGGAAGGAAGGAAGTGGTGGGCGCTGTTAGAAAGGAAGACCAGCCGAGCCAGCCGCCTGCTTCTTAACCCCAGAGACCCCCTAGGCCCAGGCAGGAGGATGGCATGTTCCAAGCCCTAAGCAACTCAGCTGGACCCTGCCTCTAAATAAAATGTTAATAGGGCTGAGGTTGTGACAAAGTGGTTAAGTGCCCCTGAGTGCCATCCCTGTACTGAGAGACCAGGATGCAAGAAAAGACCACTGACTCCAATTAAAATCAAATTAAAGCAAGCTTATTATTTCCACCAGCCCAGCTGCGTCTCCCAACAAAAACCGTGAGACAAGACAGCACTGCAGCTTTCCTGCAGCCTGCTTTATAGCCCAGAAAGTATAGCCCAGAAAGTTACACAAAGGGGGGGTTACAGATAACAAAACTCTGACAAGCATAACACAAAGCCCTGACATCAGAATTTATGAAGGTCATTAGAGCCTCAGAGAGGGGTGTTATGTGGCCAGGGAAGGCCAAGATTTGTGAGGTGTCACTAAAGTTTCAGAGAGGGCTGCTATCTGGTCAGAGAGCCAGGCATGGGTGAGCTCAAGGCACAGGCAGGCATTCTAAGCAGGTTCAGAATTTGCAGTAATTTATAGTAAAGCCCAAATTAGCTTTTCATGTCTTTGTGGCCAGATGGCTCCCAATTTTAAGAGGGAATCAGACTGGGTCTATCAGTATCAACAAGTAAATACTGACCTGAAAACAAGGCAGTGTGTTTTGGGGCTGGGGCTGGGGCTCAATGGTGCCCTGGGTTGGATCCTCAGCACCACATAAAAATAAATAAATTAAATTAAATCAATTTTAAAATCAATTTCAATCCAATATGCATAGAAGAATCTCATTTTAAAACTACAAATGGAACTGGGGATTTGGTTTGCCTGGCATGCGTGTGGCACTGGGTTTGATCCTCAGCAGCACATAAAAATAAAGATAATATGTCCACCTAAAACTAAAAAATAAATATTAAAAAAAACTGTGTGTTTGCGTAAACACAAATTTCTAAAGTTATATGATGAAGTGCTAACCATGGTTTCTTAGGAAGATGGACTTGGGATGAATAGAGATATAGATAGGTAAAAATAATGCTGGAAATGGGCAGGAAACCTCTTTTAGTTATTTGTATAATTTTCATGTGATGAAATTATGAGTGGGCTTTTGTGGTATATTTTTCAATTAACTCATTTTGTTCCATCATCCTAGATATGAAAAATCTGTAAAAACTTAAATATAGCACATACCATATAATTATGTAATATGTAATATAACAATAAGAATATGATTATACTATCAATGTTAATTAATATATACAGTCTAGATTATGGTATTTGAACCTATTTTAATGCATCTGTGTTAGTTTTATTAAAATATTTGCAGAATTGAAAACTTGGGATTTAAGGGATTATGAAAAGGCATAAAACCACTCTTCACCCCTGCTTTGTTTCTTAGGTTTTGAATCAGGATACTTTGTACTCTTGATGTAATGGTATAGATTCGGGGGAATGATTCATTTTTAACCCCCTCTTCATTAGAGTCCTCCCCTCAAGGACTCTGGTATGACACATGGGACTCTTCACCTGCCAAAGAGCCTTAGTATTTTGTCTCTCCAGTCCTGTCCATGGACCAGGGTTAGGCATGTGCACTCTGGATAACTTACTTCCTTTGAATAACTACCTTCCTTTGTATTGCGGTCACTTGGTGGATTCTCTAGAGGTATTCAGAGAGGACTGATTTGCAGTATGAAGACAACTAAGGCAATTAATCTGTGACCTCAGCATACAGAAATTATCATTCCTATCATGCATAAGGCAGCTCAGAGAAACTGAGGAGCTCGTCCCAGTCACTTGACAAATATGTGCAAAGCAAAGAGGCCTGTAGCTAGGCCCACCTGCCCAAGCCATGCTCTGCTCTAGTACCGTCTGTCTCGCTAATGTGATGTCTTATGCTTTGAGCTTGGTAGGGTGTTGTCATCTCTTGGTGGCAAAGCTTGCCAGCAAACAGGCACGATGGTAAGCAGAGAAGACCTATCTCTTCTTGAAGCCCAGGAAGAAACTGCTGCTGCCTGAGAACTGGAGTGCTGGCAAGGAGGAGAGGGCTGGAGACCCACAGGCTGTTTGCACTCGTGACCAATTCCCTTTCCACTACTGGTTTTTAAATTACCTTCCCGTGTGTTTCCATTGGAAGTTTTTTCTGGATTCCATAAAAATAAGATTCAAATTAATTTTTCAAATATATTTTGATTATCCAGAAAATCGTAAAAGAAATCCTTTGTAAAAATAGAATAGTTTCTTTTGCCATCACTGTGTATGTATGTGAATGCCTTATGATAATTCTAAGGAAACTCTGCACTCGCCTTGTTTTGAGTTTAGACCTGAATAATGTCTGCTGATACAACAAGTGCAAGTGAGCAGGCGTGGGGCGCATGCTGTGAGTCCGCGACCTGGGAGACAGAGGAGGAAGATCACACATCCAGGCCAGCTTCCACCACTTAGAGAGGCTCTGTCTCAAAGAAAAGGGAGGTGGGCTTGGGCTATAGCTCAGTGGCAGAGCACCTCTGGGTTTAATCCCAAGTCCCCCCAGAGTGTGCAAGTGGATATGTGTGTGGCCTCCTAAGTGTCAAGCACTGATTGGACACCTCTTCTCTGAGCTTCATGCCATGCTAGATACTTGTGCAATAACAAGTTAAAGTGAAAGAAGATGGGTAATACAATATTTTACTTTTGGTTAATTTAGTATTTAAGTTCTGGGTGGTTTCTGGGTGGTTTTGTCTGACTATATAATGATAAGGAATAGAATCATTAGCTAAATATTATTTAGTGGATGAGCTTTAAAAGCAAAAATTAAGGCTAGTCATCTTTTTTTTTAAAAAAATTTATTTGTTTTAATGACAGTAGAATGCATTTATGTACTTTGATATATCATATGTAGATGGGATATAATTTCTCATTTTTCTGAGAGTACATGTTATAGAGTCACATATATACATAAAGCAGTAATGTCTGTTTTGTTCTACTATCCTTTTTATCCCCACATCCCCTCCCCTCCCTTCCCTCTACCTAATTTAAGGTACCGTATTTTTCTTTAGTGTCTCCCACCTTATTGTGAAGTAGCATCCACATATTAGAGAAAACATTCAGCCTTTGTTTTTTGGGATTGGGTTATTTTGCTTAACATGATATTCTCCAATTCCATCCACATACTTGCAAATGCAATAATTCTTCTTTAAAGCTGAGTAATATTTCATTAAATATATGTGCCACATTTTCTTTATCCATTCATCTATTGAAGGATATCTAGGTTGGTTCAATAGTTTAGCTATTGTGAGTTGAGCAGCTATAAACATTGATGTGGCCATGTCATTGTAGTATGCTGATTTTAAGTCCTTTGGGTATAAACTGAGGACTGGGGTAGCTGGGTCAAATGATGGTTCCCTTCCAAGTTTTCTGAGGAATCTCCATACTTCTTTCCATAGTGGTTGTACCAATTTGCAGTCCCACCAGCAATGTATTAGTCTACCTTTCCCCCTACATCGTTGCCAACATTTATTGTTGCCTGTATTCCTGATGATTGCCATTCTTACAGGAGTGAGATGAAATTTTAGTGTAGTTTTGATTTGTATTTGTCTAATTGCTAGAGATGTTGAACACTTTTTCATGTAATTGTTGATTGATTGTATTTCTTCTTCTGTGAAGTAGAAGATTGTATTGTTTTTTTCTGTTCAGTTCCTTAGTCCATTTATAGTTCTTTATATATCCTAGAGATTAATGCTTTATCAGAGGTGCATGTGATAAAGATTTTCTCCCAGTCTGTAGGCTCTCTCTTCACATTATTATTTCCTTTATTGAGAAGCTTTTTAATTTGAATAAATCCCATTTATTGATTATTTTTTAAAGAAATTTTTTTAGTAGATGGACACAATACCTTTTTAAAAATATTTATTTTTATATGGTGCTGAGGATTGAACCCAGTGCCTCATACATTTGAGTAAGCTCTCTGCTACTGAGCCACAATCCCAGCTCCCATTAATTGATATTTGATTTTACTTCTTGTGATTTAGGGGTCTTGTTAAGGAAGTCAGATCTTAGGCCCACATGGTGAAGATTTGGACCTACTTTTTCTTTTATTAGGTGTGGGGTCTCTATTCTGATGCCTAAGTCTTTGTCCCACTTTGAGTTGATTTTTGTGCAGGGTGAGGGATAGAGGTTTAATTTAAGTTTGCTGCATATGGATTTCCAATTTTGCTAGCACCATTTATTTAATAGGCTATATTTTCTCCAGTGAATGTTTTTGGCACCTTTGTCTAGTATGACATAGCTGTATTTAGATGGGTTTGTCTCTGTGTCCTCTATTCTGTACCATTGACCTACAAGTCTATTTTGGTGCTGATACCATGCTTGTGTTACTATAGCTCTGTAG